CTTTCCCAAGTGGCGACTCTGAATTAAATAAATAACCTCATTTCGAATATTGTCACTTAAATTGGAAAAACTCCCCTCGCGCATTCTATCCTTCGGGGCGGGCGCGCAAAAAGGAGGTGTGACAATCACAACCTTTTCCTTCCACAACTATAAATATGGGTTTTTATAACTCAGAAAAGAGACTGGAAGTTATAACAAGAAGCAAGAGAGAACCCATGGATCAAACGCTGCAAATTTCTCTACAAGTTTTAGCCTTCAAACAATTAAGTTCAAGTCCGAGAAATCAAGTTCAAGCTCAAGAACGAAGAATAGATCAAGATTCAAGGAATACGAGTTCAAATCAAAGTTCGTGCTAGTTGAATCCACGATCATCATTCATGGCAACAAAATATAGATTCAAGGTCAAGCTCCTTGAATTTATTTACTATTGGAAAGAAGAATCAGAGGATTCACAAAGATTGTACACTCATATTATTTGAAATCAAATACTACGATTGTTGCAATATTTTTTTGTCTTGATTTTATTTTCTCGACTCAATTTATTGTCAACATACATATACAATTGTTTTTCCAAATCTAGTGAGTTTTCTCAGCAATTAAACTTTTCCTTCAGTTCATCACTAGATGGAAATGAAATTTTCATGGTGATTGTTAAAACATGCAAATTGCAATCAATCAGAAAAAAATATTCACTAGAAGCATCTCTAGAAATGTTAGTTTCCCTTTTCTTTATTATCGACTCAATTTTCTCAAATCTAGCTAATTAAACTGGTAAACATACTCCAGTAGTTTTTATGCTTCATTACTTTACTGCATTTACCTCAAAAATGTATTTTATGGGGCCTTTCTTTTAATTAAAGTATATTCATTACCTACTTCCCTTTCTTAGAGATTTGCAAGGCAGGCTATTGAGGATTTTATAGAGTACTTTAATTATCAAATTTGTCCGAGAGTACTTGGACTGGTTGGAATATGATTATCAACTAATAAGAAATTAATTTACTATTGTGAATAAGCTTGCCCTGGTTGTTGATGCAGCCAATAATTCACTTTTTTATACCCCTAGTTAATGTTTTTATAATACTAGTAATTTATTGCTTATATCGTCACCAGATCTCTTTTTAAGTGGTATTCCTTGTAAGTGGATCGTTTGCCACTTTGGTACATTTTTAAGCTTTAGGGTTGGTTTGGTATTGCATTTTTTTTTTGTTTGGAAAGTGCTTGTTGACTAATTATCTATAAAAGTTTCAATAGCTGATTTGGCTGGAGATGAGGGTAGGATTGGATTCTTTTCCTTGAATATTTTGATATCTTCAAACGATTCGCAAGGAGTTCAAGTTTTGTACGCTAATAGTATTAAAACTAATCATCAAGATACAAGATATCAGTAGTTTGTAGAATCTTTGTATGGAACACTAGAAGAAAGAGTGAGGTAGTCAGGGGCGGATTTACCTAAGGCTTTTATTTTTTTATATATTAAAAAGCAGAAACGAAAATACGTTAATTTATATTAAGTGACATTGCTTGAAACAAGTAACTGGGTTGGCTAAATTGGTCAGGCGCCTTATTTTTCTGGTATAGGTCGTGGGTTCAAAGCTAGAAAGCTTCATTTATTATTTTAGTGGTCAATTTTTGTAAACTCTTGTGACAATTGTTGTAAAGCCATTTGATTAGATGTTGAACTTTTAGTGATTATTAGGAACTTTATATTAGAAAAATAGTATTTAGTATTATTTCGAATGAGGTTATTTTTTTAATAAAATTCATCGAGAAGAGTTGTTGTAATATACTTGAGTTGTGTTCGTTTTTTTTGGTATGATATGATATTGTTAGTAGTGTTTTGTTTATTTGTTCACTTTTAAAATATGACACCACTTACAAAAAATCCTGCATACGCCACTAGAGGTTGTTAGGCGGACCCAAAATTTGAAGGCCGCAAGTATACTTTTGAATTTAACCAAAGTATATAAAACAGGGTACATACTACTAAATATATCACTATTTTCTAACGATATATACATATATACATAAAAAATTTGTCAAACTTAACGGGTATTGGTGGCCCCTCTCGATATAGCATAAGTCTGTCTCTCAAGATAGTACATGATTTTCATCATCTCCATATATTTACAGTTGCAACAAGCCTAATTAAGCCGCAAAATGTGAAGAAAATTAGAAACAAAAAGAAAGGGCACTAAATTTCTACTCTAAGTGGGTGCAATGAAGAGTCGGACCATATTGGGTCAACTCTATCTTTACATTTTTGCGGGTAATTGTTTTTATAACTAGAACCCATAATCTCGTGACTACACGATAATGACTTTTACTATTGCATCGGGACTTCTTAGAAGTACAAATGAAAAGGAAGAAAGGAGTAGAAAAGGAACAAACACAGGAGAGAAAGTACAAAGATTGTGTTTTATCTGAAAGTTGATGCAACAGTTTGAGCCCAAACTCTGAGATTATCTTTCATATTAATCTCATTGTTCATAGCAGGAACTCTCCACTTCAACAATTTCTTAGTCATCTTTCTTTTTTCAAGAATCTCCCATGCTTCAGAAAGATAAGGCCTTGAATTTACATCCCTCTTTTTACTATTTTCTATAATTTCCTCTGCCCTTTTTCCCCATTTCTCCAATCCGGGAACAATTGTAACCAATCTTGAATTTTTATCTTCTTCACTAAACTCAAATCCCAAATCCATAAACCCTTTTAATTCTTCAAGTTCAAGGTCTGATGAACTTCTCCGAATTCGAATAATTTCCTTAACTTCCCTTTTAATCCTTCTCCTCTTCTTGTCACTAACTTTTATTGGTTCTTGAACTCTATTATGTGTGATAATCACAGAAGTTGGAGAATTCCCAAGTGGACTAAAACTTGTATTATCCAAGCTTAAACAGTAATCACTTTGTGATCTTCCCATCAAGATATTTGCTGATTCTTGAATTTCATGAGTATTTTCTTGAACTTCCTTGGTTGTTACATTAGCTGAAATTTGAATTTCAAGAGATTTGAATATTTCTTGTTCAAACCAACAAGTATCAAAGAGCTTGAGGATTTCTTCTTCAGCCGCCATATAATTATAATGTGCACTAGAAAACAGACTTATCTTTTTTCCAAGCAAATCTTGGGAGTTATGGTATGGTATATATACAAGTAAATTATTGAGCATGTTATTGGAATCTGATGAGTGATTATTCGAATCTTATAAGTGGTTTATTATAAAAATAGGCCCACGTTTCTCCTCTAGAAGAGTCGAAATAATTTTTTTTATGTCCTAAGCACCATTAGTTCTTCCAATTATTGTTGTATTAGTTGGAAAATCAAGTCAACTCTCAATCATGACCTAACATTTATGTGTGCTGAAAAATATATAGGGTTATGTTATTTGTGGCTTGAATTATTTCCTTATATTTTTAGGAAACTCATAGTCCCTATTGGTTTAGGAAAACTCATTGTCCTAATAGATTTGGGAAAAGAAAACCTATAATCCTTGTCAAATTGGGAAACCTTTCTCATATATGTTTGGGACCTTTTGGGATCTATATATAGGGGTTGTAGTTGGGGATTCTATAGATGGTATTGTGTTTTTTTTCTCAATCATAGTGGAAAACTCTCTCTTCTTTTGCCCCGAGGATTAGGCTTAGTCGAATCTCGTTAAATCCTTGTGTTGATTTTTCTTCTCTATTTGCTTTATGTGAGATTGTGTGCTAGTTAACCCACGATATTCCGCAACAATTGGTATCAGAGCAAGGTTTGGGTTTCTACACATAATTTAGGGTTAAGATGTCTTCATCATCTTCAACATACGAAGTAGAGAAATTTGACGGAGGTTCTAGTTTCAGTCTATGGAAGATTAGGATGAAATCGTCCCCGGTGTTACAAGGATTATGGAAAGCAATTGATGATGATTTTCCTGAAGATATGAAAGAGACAAAGAAGGAAGACCTGAAGGAGAGGGCTTTGAGTGCGATCTTCATGAGCGTTACAGATAGCGTTCTTCGGGAAATTGCTGAAGAAACTTCTGCAGCAACGACATGGAAGAAGTTGGAAGATCTGTATTCTAAGAAATCGCTGACAAATCGCCTCTACCTGAAAAAGAGGTTATACAATCTCCGTATAAACGAAGGTACACATGTTAAAACTCACCTTGATGAGTTTAATTCAATTATAATGGACCTGAAAAATGTGGATATCAAAATTGAGAGTGAGGATCAGGTCTTGATTGTGTTATGTTCTTTACCACAGTCTTATGATACTTTTGCCAATAAACTGCTATATGGGAAAGATAGCATTTCACAAGAAGATGTTAGTAATGCACTAAAATCTAAAGAGTTAAAAAAGAGCTTTCCAGACAACAGAATTGAGGGCGAGGGTCTTGTGATTAGAGGAAGAATACAACAAAAGGACTTTAACAGGAAAAGGAAAACCGCAAGATCAACGTCTAGAGCAAGGAAGCAAAACTATTATGAGTGCGGGGAGCAAGGTCACTACAAGAGAGATTGTCCTAAGCTGAAGGAGAAAAGAGGGAAGCAGAAAATAGATAATTCGGCAAATATTATTGACACTGGCAATAATTCTGATGATAGTGATTATGTAGGGGAAGTTTGTGCTGTGAGTTCTAGTCATGGGCAAAATTCTTGGGTTCTTGATTCTGGTGCTACTTTCCACATGTGTCCACACAAGAATTGGTTTGCAACTTACAAACAAATGAGTTGACTGTCTATATGGGAGATGATAATCCATTACCAGTAGAGGGGGTTGGTAACATCAAATTGAGAATGTTCGACGGAATTATCAAAAACATTGAGTGTTGGCATGTTCCTCGGATAAAGAGAAATTTGATTTCTCTTTCGACTTTGGATGATCAAGGGTATAAATTTCACTCCGAGAATAAAATACTTAAAGTGTGTAAAGGCTCCATGGTACTCATGAAGGGTAAACTACATTCTAAATTGTATCATCTTCAGGCTAGTGTAGTTGAAGGGGAAGCTGCTGTAGCTTGTGGGAAAAATGATCTGAATCAGTCTCAGTTGTGGCACTTGCGACTTGGCCATATGAGTGATAATGGATTGTCTTTGTTGAGTAAGCAGAATTTGCTGAATAGGTACAGAAATTAAGTTTTGAATTTTTGTGAGCATTGTGTGTTTGGTAAACAGACAATGGTAAAGTTCATCAAGAAGGCCGAGCACAAGACCAGAGACAAGTTAGATTATATACACTCTAACTTGTGGGGTCCAAACAGAGTTCCCTTCAAGAGTGGTGCCAGGTATTTTATGACTTTGATTGATGATTACTCAAGGATGGTGTGGGTATATTTTCTGAAAATAAAAGATGAGGCATTTTCGACATTTGTTAAATGGAAGACGATGGTTGGGAGGTAGACGGAAAGAAAAGTTAAGCGTCTTTGAACTGACAATGGGTTAGAATTTTGCAATTCTAAGTTCGATAATTTCCGCAACAGGGAGGGCATAGTGAGACACCGCACTTGTGTCGGAACACCACAACAAAATAGTGTTGCAGAACGTATGAATAGAATGTTTTGTGATAGGGCACGAAACATGTTTTCACATTCATGTGTTAGCAAAGATTTTTGGGCTGAAGCAATCAATACATCTTGTTATTTGGTCAATAGATCTTCATCCACAACTATAGAGTTCAAAACTTCTTTTGAGGTATGGTCCGGTTCACCTGCTGATTATTCAAATTTAAAGATATTTGGTTGTCCTGCTTATGCTCATGTGAGGGATGGAAAACTTGAGCCGAGGGTAAATAAGTGCATATTTCTAGGGTATGCAACTGGAGTGAAATGTTATAAGTTGTAGTGCACAGATCAAAAGACTCCAGGGCTAATTATCAGTAGGGATGTAATATTCAATGAATCTGCCTCACTGGACAGTCAGAGGGAGAAGGCAATAGCAGAAACAGATCGTGGTGTCAGTGACAGCATAAAGCTAGAAGTTGAATCTCCATTAGCTCAGCCTAGTAGTTCTAAAGTAGAGGAAGTGGAGGAGGTGCAAAATATTGATCAAGACGATAATGTTGATGCACCTGCGCAACAACAACCATATAGCATTGCAACAGGCAGAGAGAAGAGAGTGATCAACCGACCGCAGAGGTTTGCAAACGTAGTTGATGAGAATCTTCTTGGATATACGAATCCAGTGGGATTTGCTTTGGCAGTTGAAGAGACCGTTGATGCGTTTGAGTGTTATAGCTATCTAGAAGCTATTCCGAGTATAGAACCAAATCGACGGATTAGTGTTATGAGTAAAGAGAATGAGTCTCTTAACAAGTTTAGGTGTTTCCTAGACTTGGTTGATGCATGCGAAAATGGATAGAGCCCTTGCGAGGGCTGAGGGCAAGGTAGAGAGACGTTGTTCCTGAAGAGAATTCAAGCCAAAGGGAAGATTTGTTATTTGTGGCTTGAATTATTTCCTTGTATTTTTAGGAAACTCATAGTCCCTATAGGTTTAGGAAAACCCATCGTCCTAATAGATTTGGGAAAGGAAAACCTATAGTCCATGTCAAATTGGGAAACCTTTCTCATATATGTTTGGGACCTTTTGGGATCTATATATAGGGGTTGTAGTTGGAGATTCTATAAATGGTATTGTGCTTTTCTTCTCATTCATAGTGGAAAACTCTCTCTTCTTTTGCCCCGAGGATTAGGCTTAGCCGAACCTCATTAAATCCTTGTGTTGATTTTTCTTCTCTATTTACTTTGTGTGAAATTGTGTGCTAATTAACCTACGATATTCCGCAATAGGTTAAATGATAGATCATGCAGTCTGATTGGGCTCATTCTTATTTTCATAATCTAGTTTATGGGAATGATTAATATCTCGGTGCTTAATATAGGATTTGCACGTCAACTTTTATAAAATGGAGCACTTTAACCCTCCATTTAAGATTTTTCGGCAAAAATTCGGATTTAATCGGATCTCAATGCAAATATCGAATAAGCAGAGGCGGATTCAGGATTTATAGGTCGTGGGTGCTTCATTAATTTTAGTGTAAAGTTACAGTGGTCAAACATGATCATAGTGGGTGCTCGTGATCAATTATTTAAAAATTTTAAGTATTATCTACGAATATATAGTACAATTTGCCAGAAGTCCATGGGTGCTGAAGCATCCAAACCTCAAAACGTAAATCCGCCATGATGGGAAACCAAAAAAAAAAAAAAAATTTAAGAATTTGACTGGTTGTGAAATATAGTTTCATTTACATATGTCGCTGTTAAGTATAGCCTCTTTGCTCTAGTTGTCAAGTTGTCAAAAGTTACAAACAAAATGTTTAGGAATTGATAAGTACAAATTTTTGTTAGTTATTGGTTGGTGGTGACAAGAAATAATCAATTTTAAACAATGAGGTGTACGTACAATGGATTTGACATGTAAGTTGGGAAAGATTTTGGATATTTATGTCATAGTATCATCAGAACTGATTTGGATGAGGTTAGGAAGTTAACGTGTATTTTCTCAGCAAATTCATGTACTTTGCCAACATATTACATTCTATTGTCTATGTCCCACAACTATCTTTGTGGAAGAATTATACATATGTATTGACGGAGCTATAATTTTTCTTACAGACGGCTGTTTTGACGCAAATATTGTATTTGTATATTTTAAAATCCACTTAAAATATATAAACAATTTATTCAAAAAATATGCAGAACCCAAAATAGCTTCGCCTCTTTTATGTGAATCAGTCTTCTCAAATCTCTAAAAAAGAAAAAAAAAACGAAGAAGAAGATCTTTTCCAATATGGTTTAGGGCTTTAGCCCATATATACTCTAATAAAACCTGTTTAATCAAAAAATGGAATTTTAGTCAAAGCTAGAATTTAGAAGAACACGGGCTACTGATAATCGAAAGAATATGTAAAAGAGAGTAATTTGGGTAGCAAGAATATAATTAGGAGAGAAACAAGTAAACCAAAGTATATTCCAATAGTGTTTCGTGTCCTTACAATTGATCAGATATCTCCCTTTTATAAATATCTTGGAGATATGCGTTTTGCCTAAATCATAATGAGGCTATTATGAGTAATTAAAGATATTGAATGCTA